ATACCTTTCCCCTCCCTGCACCACTCCCATTTCTATCCGTTTCCCAGAACGCAGTGGACCTGCCCAAGCTGGCCAGCTGGACACCTGAAATAATCCTAAATGGCAAGTGAGCTTCCTGAGTATGTGGAGGGGGCAGAGCACACCCTCTCCCTGGGCTTTCCTGCATCCTCAGACCTCAGGATATCTCCCACCCCCACCTTGATGGCAGGGTGAGCTTGGTGGGTTGGTGGGGATATGCTAGACTGCCAGACTGGCTCGGCAGTTCACTGATGCCAGACAGGAGGGAGCTCCAGATCCATGTTTGATTTCTCAGGTAGCCAGAAGCCAGATGTGTTCTGGAGATGGCAAATTTTGGGTCAGTTATTGCTGTACAGTGCAGACCTACTCTTAATCTGCTTTGGCATTCAAAGGTAGAATTATATAGGTGTGCAGGAACGCCAATTTTTTGACAGAAAAGACAACTTTTCCAGGGTTATCAGAGGTGGGATGAGCAGCTCTGCAGGTCTGGGGGATGCAGCCTGTGCCCTTAGAGAGCAAAGGGCAATTGCTCCAAGAGCCCAAATTTTGCATCCTGAAGCGCTGCCTGCCCTTGGCCAGCAATAGGTGCCAAAGGATTTTGGAGAGAAGTCCTGCCTGCTGGGACTGGGCAGCTCTTGCTGCAGGGACACTAACTGCTCTGCTCTTTAACACAGATGGAGAACCCCAGCTGGCCTCCACCGTCATAGACACCATCATGGCTGGCCTGCCAGGACCACGGGGAGCCCCGGGCCCCGTTGGGCCACCAGGTAATAAGCTCATTTGAGCTGCAAACTGTAACGATGGGGAAGGTGAGCAAAAGAAATTTCTGATGGAGACTGGAGTGGTCTGTGGGATGCCTGCAGGGAAAGCAAGTGGTCCTCACTAGAAGGGCAATAGAGCAGTGGGTCTGGGGGTGGGAAAGGTGGCCAGAAGTAACCACGTTTCTTAACTGTTGATAGTGGCAGATTGTTTTACCTTCGGCAGGACACATCTTGAGAAGGGAATAATTAAAGGCTGTCTTTAAGAATGGGTTGTCCAGTGAATTCCTTTATGAGAGCAGAGTTGTTCTCACCGCTGCTGCGATCCTGTCCTGTCGCTGTAGAGCTCCACTGAGCAGGATCTGGCCAGCTGCTCTGTGATGCGTATGCAGACTTTGCAGACTTTGGAGCTGGTTTGAGCTGTTCCAGATTTTCACCAGTATAACTGAAATCAGAATCTGGGATGAAAATTCAGCGGCAAGTCGTCTTTTTCTCTGTACTGATGGGCGGCTTAAATGATAGTATTCCTGCAGACATCAGCACTTCCCTGTATGATGCATATTTAGGAGTGAACTCCCATTAGTTGCAGAAAAGGCTTTTCCTTTCATTATGAGGGCCTTTCATTTATCCTTCAATTCCTTTATTCTTTGACTTAAGCATTTGTATGGTGCATTAATGATTGAGGCTGATTCAGCTGTACTTTGTGTATAATGTCCACATTGTTTAATCTCAAGGGTTGTGACAACTAAAGCAGAGAGGAGTATTGCTAAGTTCAGACTAAGCAAATATCCTGTCTCCCATTTGCAGGTATAATTTAATAGCTACTGTTGAGATATAATTATTTTCCCAAAAGGAATGGATCTGTTAAGTGACTGTGTAAAACAAGCTGACCTGTTTAGACAGTGTTTAACTTGTCCTGGAAGCAGGCTTTTCCGCGGTACAGACTTTAAAAGACTTTATTGCCACTGGAGTGAGCAAAGAACAAGAGAGAGCTTTGCTTTGCCACAGTCAGCCTCTCACACCGGCTGTGTCCAAACCCCATGTCCTTCACGTTCATCATCAACTTTCTGATAACACTAGAGACACAGACCGTAGCAGGCTTGTGGACTTCCCTTTCCACTTACAGGACTCTGTTTCAGAAACAGCAACTGTAGTATCTCGCTCTGATGTAGCTGTTTCATGGATCTAGTTTAAGTTTTCTCAAAAGTTGTCATTTTAAACAATGGAAATGCAGCATGACTGACATCCTCCCTGCCTATTTTCACCTTTTTTTCCTCCCAGAGCTCTAACATCTTCCCTAGGGCATAGGGATATATTATATCAGGGTGTGGGTATCCAGCAATGCAGTGTGTGATGAAGCGCTTACGCTGTAGTCCTGTGATCGATGAACGGCTCTTACCCATTGAGAGACTAAGCAGAACAATGACAGGAATTGCATGCATTTGGAATTTAGGGTCCTTCCTTCTAAGTCTCCTAAAAATCGTCTCAAATGATGATTCCCACCAGGGCCACCAGGCGCATCAGGACCCAAAGGGCCACCAGGACCTATCGGAGTCCCCGGATCACAAGTAAGGCGCTTTAGTGCTTTGGGGCTGAGGGGCAGTCGGGGGCTAGGTGTGAAACATCTTCTCATTGCACAAAGAGAGACAGTAGTTTATAAGTCTTACATCTGATGTTTTGTTCCCCATGAAATTCTGTGATTTTAATACCTTTTTTTCATTCTGAATTGTGTTGAGAGGTTGAAATGGTTGCGCTTTCCAGATTTTCCCTTAATCATAACAACACATCTCGCTGTTGCTGTGTCAAAACATTTCACTGTGGCCTGAGTTGATGCAAAGGATTTGACATGGCCTTTACTAACACAGTGATAGAAAAATACCGCGTTTCCTGCGGAACACATAAAAAGAACAAAAATGCATCAATGGGAATTCACGAATTCACCAAAGTGAATTTGTTAAGCCTAGCTTTTGAGAAATAGCACTTTCTGTTCAAGAAAAATATCACAAATTCCCATCAGTTTGATTATTTATTGATACAAAAATTGTGGAGGGGGGGAGGTAATAATGGAGTGTGATAAACTCACTTAAAAGAATTTATGATAGGAGAAGGGCAAAGTACTCACATGGGTGGAAAAAGCCAGTTAAATGGAAAGAAGTGAAGTCATGATGAACAGTGAACTGCCAAACTACTCAAATTGTGGTTGGCTGGTACAAAGGGACTCCAGTTTTGGGAAGAGTATTACTTAATGTGGAGGTATACGAGTAACATCAAATATTTCAAAGGAATGTAACGTGACTAAAGAGATAAAAGTGACTGAAGAGCACAGAAAGAGAGAAACGTTAAGTAACTTAGAGGGATGTAACTTAGATCCTGATAAGAAGAGGTTTGGAATTGCTAGACAGTAGAGAAAGGAGATTTTTACTATGTGTTTATTAATCAGTTTGAAGAAGCAATAGACAGCAGGTTAGTGAAAATTTGCCAGTGTAGCAGAATCATTTCAATTAGTGAATGCTCTGGAGAACGATGAGAAACTCCAGATAGATATGAACACAGTGGGAAATTTGGCAGCAAAATGACAGATGCAGTTTAACGTGATTAAATATAAGGTAATTCACAATTCATAAATAGGCTCTGTAGTAGAGTCTGGCTTTTTCACATGCAGCACGCATTATAAATCTTTTTTTCTTTTTACAACAGATTTGTGGAATTCAATGTTCTTGAGTGTCCCCATGTAATCACACACTGAAAGTCACTGTTGAGAGCTGTCAAGAGCGAAGGATGCTTGTGGACACTTAAGATTTGTTCATGCTGCATGTTTGACACGGGGCCAAGTCTGGCTGGTGCCCTACCTCGTTTGGCAGCCCTAGTTAACCTCCTAAATCAGGCCTGAGTTTCTGAATCTTTTGTGGGCCCAGGGGAGACGTAGCTAAGCTGGAGGCCAGGTCACTGTGCAGCTGGTAGGGCTGACTGCAGGCAAGGAGTGACATGTTAATGGTGAGCATTGCTGCCTCCCAGCTGAAACCAGGAGAGTGCTCCTCCTTTAGACCTTTAAAGAGCTAATGCGCAATCTTGTTGGGCCACTTAACTAGACGCTGAGGCTCCTCACAGCTATGCCTCGAAAGCCCATTCCTCTGGACACTGGGAGGTGGGGGTTTCTGGAGGCTGTTATTAAGCAGGTTGGCTTAAATCACCAGCAGTCTGGAGTGGAGCAGTAGTCTGATTTGCTGCAGTCACCAAGGTGATATGCAAGTCACTTGAGGTGGAAAAAAGCATCTTGCATACGGTCATGGGGAGCTGACATGCTGAATATAAACAAACAATATTGTTCTCTCCCTGTCTGGTTTATAGCTGTGGCTTCGCTGGGTGAATAAGTTAAGAATTTGGATCGATTTCTGCAAAGCAGTTAAATTAGTAGAAATCTGGAGACTATGCCCTTCTTATCCGTTGGTGACTGCTTTATAGATTTATTCAACCCAGGGAGCAAAATTATTAGTAGAGATTGGGCTTAATTTGAAAATTGTTTATTAGGGTGAGTGAATAGCTTCAAAATAATTTCCACTGCACAATCCAATTAATTTTCAGGTATGTATGCTTACTCATGCCACCCACTGAGGCAATTATGAAGAGGGGGAAAGTAATGGGGATTTTTAAGCTAACCATACTATCTGTGTATTAATTTCTTCTTGGTAACTGAGAACAAGAACTATCCTGTCATACTGACCCCTTAAAAAAAAGTCACATCAGTAGCCTGCAGTGCATTAGAAGACCCAAATAGAGGGATATGCAGAAACTATAGGTCTCAGGACATCTGCAGTCAGAGCTTCCGTTGTTGAGGATAAAAGCTTGAGGGTAAAAGAGAATCCAAGGCGTTTGCTTAATGGGTGTATGAGGTTTTCAGGATCTGAGGATCACTGGGAAATGTATTCATTACACCTACACAAAGGATGCACACTATAAATTAATTCCTTCTTGTTCTGCATCTCTTCTAGGGCTTACCGGGCTCTCCAGGACAACCCGGGCCAAAAGGCTCCAAAGGAGACCGAGGAGAGAGAGTAAGGTTTTACATACACAGAGAGATTCCCAGCAACATCTGGGGTGATGCCTCAGAAATTATATACAACCTCAGTCTTTCAAATTCTGTGGGACTAAAGCCATGAACAATTTAAATGTAGAGTTTCTAGGTCTTCTGCAAGAACCAAGATGATGGTTTACTGTACAGGTAAAGAGTTGAATTGCTTGCGAAGTCCGGTGTTCCCTAAAGAGATTCAGGTAGCAAATACATGGTATACAAAGGCTTGTGGAGACCAGCTTTCTTCTGCCAACCAAAGCTCTTTAGCGTTGAGTATTTGGGTGGTCTAGCTGAACTCTTCCTTCTGTGGCAATAAGGCAGTAAAAGCTCATCAGACTTTTCCTGAACCAAAGCCATTCCCCAGGTCAAATGATGTTCTTGATATATTTAGAATACTGAAATGGTGTTTTTAATATGTTTGTGTGCTATACCTCAGTCCTTGATGGGTTCACAAGTGCTAATAACTAAACATAGATAGAAGGGCTGTTTGAATGTTATTTACAAACTGGTGAAGTTTAGGAAATACCAGAGAAAAATCTAACAAGGATATAAATGTGTCAGATTCCCAATCCAGCATTCAAGCACCGGGAAGGGTTTCGAAGTGGCATTTGGGCCTTCAGCTCCTTCTGTTCAGCTCACTCTCCAAAAGGCCATGGTTTCTGAACTCTCCTCTGACAGACACTAGGAGTGCAAAATCATTTGAGAACGTAGTACGTGGTGGAGGATCATTCAGCAATTAGATCTGCAAAATGTAGAAGTGGGCACAGATGGACTGTGGACCATCACTAAGACCCTAGTGTGGAGCAGAGTCAAAGAAAGGAAGAAAGATGAGGAGAAAAATATTGGTTGGTACCTCTAAAATGAGGGACGTGGACACAGGCTTGGGCCACAGCTGTAGGAAACAAGTTCCCTTTTCTTCCAAGTGCCACTTTTACCATCACATAGATGGAGATGAATGTGGAGGTCACCACCTGTAAATGGGTGGCTGTAGATGACGTGCTTCCCCCATACGACAGCATCTCCTCTTCTTCATTTCTGCTCACTCTTCCAATCCAAAAGACAGAGGGATGTCTGAAAGAACTAGGACAGATAGGTTAACTCCAATTTGATGACGTCCCAAATTCATGAGAATAACCAGCAACAGACTTAAACTATGTTCCTCTGTCCAGACAGTGTGTAAGGAGAGCAAGTCCAGGTGGCTTGTTTCATTCCCTCCTGTGGCACCTCACATCAAGGAGCAGAGGATATCTGAGGATGGAGCACGTATGCTTTTAAAAAGCTCCGTTTTATTTTAGTATCTTTGCACATTGTTTTGGATACTTGGTCCCTGTTCTTACATAAGAAATCACTTGCAGCTCCCTGAAAGACAGAGACCATTTTAAGTGACTTTAGTAATTTTTTAATAACAGTTCCCTTGTGCAGATCAGCCACTTTGGGCATGTATTGACTTTACTAATAGATTACAGAGTGATGTATTTCTGGGGCTAGAATTTAAGATTCTGATAGAGAGCAAAACCTTAACTGATGAGATTTACAGCCCATCGGCATTAAATGTTAATTTTCAGTCTAAAAAAAAAAAAAAAAGGCGTGGTATATGGTGAAGTGTCAAGTTTCCATCCAGGAAAGTGATAAGAGCTCTTCCTCAATGATTCATTTAACATTTGCTTTAGTTTGTGGTAAGACTACACTTATTTTGAAACAAAAGCTTTGTTGCATTGTATCCATTCAGTACAGACAAATCCTTTAGACTTTGATTTTGTTTCCCTCCTTGTTAGATATTCAGAATTGTAACTCTCCTTCTAGGTTTGGGACAAATGAGATTTTCACATATCAGAATGCCTTGCTAAATAGAAAAAATAAATTCCATTTCCTGTCCTTCCTCTGTTAGCGTGGAAAGCAAAGCCGATTGCTTTTCCTGGCAGAATTTCTGTAGGATGTTCTGTGTGCTTTTTGTCTTTTGTGAGTGTGGATTTGAATGCTGGTTTTGACAACTACATGCTGCAATTTTGGGTTTGGTGGATACAAATTAGAGCTAGCTTTACACAGAGCGGAGGAGCTGTGCAGCTGCAAAGAAAAGCAGAGGCGGGTTTACAATATCTATTGAGATTCGAGAAAATGTTATTATACATTCTTCCTGCTTAATCTCAGAGAGAACAGATGTAGAAGAGACCTGAAGCAGTCTGGGCGCATCTCCTGGATGGCACATCTATATGCGTGCCACTCACGATCAGCCTCTGTTCATCTTATTCTTAAAACAGTGCCAGTGAGGGATACACCGCATCATCTCCAGGCAGTCTTCAGAGGTACAGCTAGTGAGGGCCTGGGATAAAAGATATTTCTAACATCCAGCCTAAATATCCTTTGATCCCCTTTAAACTGATAACATCCTTTCCTTTTCCCCCTGGACATAGAGAACAGTCCGTTTATGTACTTTGAGTGCGTTGTTATGTCTCCTCTCCGTGATTTGCCGCTTGCCTGTGCTTTTTCACAGGCTTTACTCCCTCCAGTGCAGAATCCAAGTATTTCCCTTTGAAGATGCTCAGAGCACCTGACAAATTGGGCCTTCCTTCCAGCGCTCTTCGTGTTGATACGGGCCTTTGTCTAGTGCTGGCTAGCTGCTCACCGAGCACTGCGCAGCTCTCTGTAGTAATGTTTTTTAGATGCCCAAGGCCCATTGTTTTTTTTTATACAAAGCAGCAGTTTGATAGACACAGTAACAAAGCAGCTCTCCCTTTCTGGCAAATACTACAAAAAGCTGCCGCCAGCTAGGTAGTTTTTTGGGGAAAAAAGGATGGGTTTGTTTCTGTGTATGTCTAGGGGAGAAGAGCCAGGTTAAATACGTGGCTGTTTCATCAGTGGATTTCTAAAGAGTCTTTTAAATTTTGCTGCTTCTTCCCCAGCTCCTGCTTTCTCATGAAATAATCTATAATTGTTCTTCTGGTCAGGGATTCGGCCCTGCCCTAGCATGCTCCGGGGTGGGAAACCAGCGCTGCAGAGGAAAACAGGGAGAAAAAAAGATGCTCAGTCTGATGGCATTTCATTCCGCCCCAAACCAACATGTACCATTTCAAAATGTTTCTGTTTAAAACAACAATAAAAAAACCAACCCAAAAAACCCCACTGCAAACAATGTGAAAATTAGCACAGCAGGAAAAAGAAACAAACCAACCAAAATATTGTACCTGTGTTTTGATCAGTAGCTGTTGGGGTTAATGCAGGGATGTGTGTGTGGAGCAGGAGGCAGATTAAATCAGTGCTCTGTGGGAGTCCTGGGCTCTGTTTGCTGTCTGGGGCAGCATCAGCCCATCAGTTTTACTAGAGAGAAGAATGCGATATCTTTGTAAGAAACAAATCTCCAGCCAAATTCCTTCCTGGTATAACGTAACTGACTGCTGTAAAGTTCAAAAAATTGCTAATCGTCTTACTGAGAGGGTACTGAGCTGAGTAGCTCTGTATCGAACCAAACTTCTCCAAAGTGTGATGGGATTTGGAGCTGATACTTGACAGAAAACCATGACCCCCTTTTGCTGTCTCTAAGTGATAATGTCAGGGGAAAGGAATTTTTTTCATATTATCCCAAGTGTAAGGTTTTTCATTAAGCCATCTTAATTCCACTAGTAAAAATTACACTATGTTCTTGTCAAATGGAAAAATATCTCCTAATGACACTTACTTTATCTCCAACAGGGGCAAGCAGGTCTGACTGGAGAGAGGGGCATTAAGGGATTTCCTGTAAGTGATGTACTTGCGGGTGTGTGCAAGACTCAGATGGTTTTGGTGCCTGCCTGGCACAGTAAATACCACCTAGCTGGGCTGCAGCTGGTTCAACCAGCTCTCTCAGATGCAATGCTGAGGTCAACTGTCTCCAGCTTAGACGTTTGTTCAGTAGGCAACCTCACCTTAACGTAATCCTCTGCAAATGAAACATAGTCTTCCTACATGTTAAGCATAGTGCTGAAATGCCGCGATCAGGAAGGTGTCACACCAACAGAGGAGATGTGCTTTGCTTGCAGATCCCCTCTAGCCAAACCTTGGCAGACAGAAGCCCTCTCCCTGCCCCGTGAGGTTCCTGGCACTACCAGAGCTCAAAGTGGGCACTGTAAAACAACCCGAAGTACATCAGCTGCTCTCAACTCCCTCTTGCACCTTGGTCTGCCAAGCTGAGCTGGAAACCCTGTAATGAGATTGAGATGTCTCCAAATGATTTCTTGGCAATACCTGAATGGATGCACACAGGAGACGTCTGCACTGGCACATATGGCTAGGGTGCAAATAAACCGGTGGAGATGAAGGTTGGCTGAAAGTGAGCTAGTGGAGCAAGTTGGGGTTTTTCTGGCTGGCAGCATCCAGAGAGGTCCTAGGTCCTCTGGGAGGTTTCTCTTCTCTCTTCCTTAATTCCACCTCATCGTTTTGTACAATTCACACAACCTTCTCTTCAGTCCTTCCTCCCATATCCACCCCTGCTTTGCAAGTATCTCAGGGATGTCCAGCAAGTTTGAGGAGCCCAGGCATTTCCACTCTATTTTATTCACCAGCTTATTAGCCCCTTCCCTTGTTTTATGTTTAGCTTGTGGTTTAATCTCTCCGTGTCATCTGTTCTTTGAGAAATGCATAACTTCCTGGTTGGGGGGAACATTAGACCAACGTTCACAGCACATACATAGGGATCTTTGTTCAAGAAAAGCTTAATGACCATCTTCAGAGGTAGAAAATGATGTGACTAATTAGTGAAAGCAGAATGGAGGATTTTATGGTCTAAATCAAAGATGAACATGTGCATGTTTGCGAAAGGGGAACAGTATTTTTATCTCAGTGTGAGATAAAAGCATTGCTCATTGAGATCTTCATGAGATGTGTATAGCCTTGCTGTGGGCCCAGGCCATGGCAGCCAGCCCCTCCTGCAGCTTGGCCACACCTGGCCAAGTTCATCAGAGTTGGAAGTGGTGATGACCTCCTGGGAAGCTGGTGGGAGCCAGGACAGAGCTCATGAGAGCACTTTGGCCCTTGGCGTGACGTGCCAGAGAGTCAGTTTGTTTTCTGCTGGTGAAACGCTTCTGCCTTTAATTAGTTCATTTGGAGGGAAGGGATGCAAGCGATCCTGGACAGGGTCCTCAATCACATGAAAACAAATTTCTGTTTCTTGTCTGTTTTAGGGTGAACCAGGCAAGAAGGGTGAGGAAGGTGACAAAGGTGCTGATGTAAGCATGTATTTCTGCTGTTGTTTTACTTTCCTTTTTGTCTCTTTACTGTGCTTCAACCATATTCCCTTTGGCAGGGTGCTTTGTGGAGAGCAAGGGTCTCGTCCACAGTTAAAAGTACAGAGCAAGAGGTGATTCGAACCTTGGGTTTAATCTTAATACATGCTAGAAATCCTGGTCTTTGAGGTTTCCTCAGCCACGTTGTCAGCTGCCCTTCTCACCATGCTCTCTGAGCACCTCCTCTGTCCTCAGTGGTGGTTCTGCCACACAGAGCTGCTACAAGGTAGGGAATTACTCCCCCACTGTCCCTTTCACAAGCTCCGGGACAGACTCCCAGAAGAGATCAAGCAGAGAGAGTTGGAGTTCTCACATCTCTGCTGTCCCACCCTAAAATACTTCCCAACATCTATCTGTCCCTTCAGGCCAATATCTAAGGCAATGGGGGCAACAGCTTGAGTGTACGTGAAAGTATGTGGACAGGCTTCAGGCAGCATGTGGCTCGCTAGGAGCTCTGTGAGAGGCAGTGTGAAGCCCATCAGGAGGGGCTTGCATGCCACAGTTCCAGTTTATAAGGGAGCAACAAGATGGTGCTAGCTACATGTCCCGGTTTCCTGGTGTACCAACAAAGAGAAAGCCCACGTAACTCACTGGTGTTCAGAGTAAATGTCAGATGAGAGCAAAACCTGTTCTCCAGGTAGTTCAGCATAGCTGTTAACACAAGCTTCACATTATAAAGGTTTGACAGGAGTATACACCCTGGGTTCAGCCCACTGCAGAAGCTGGAACCAAACTGAAAGGCTTGGCTTTGGGTCAGAGGCTCTGCAAACATGGGTATAACTGAGGAGTTTTTCTTTAAATAGGGATTTCTCCTGCATTCCTACTTAACCCTTGCAGCTTATCTCCCCTTTTACATCTTTTCTTTTTTAAACATTCACACTGCATAGTTTGGCATTACGGAGGCAACATTATGAACAAGAAGCCTATTCTGCAACATATACCAATGTTAGTTTTCTTTTCCTTCTTGCAGGGGGAAGGTGTTCAACAACTTCGAGAAGCTCTGAAGATTTTAGCTGAGAGGGTATTAATTCTTGAGCACATGATAGGAATTCATGGTAAGTGTCGCTAATGTTTTCTTTTCTGGACGACTGGGGGCTCTGTTCAGGCAGCTGCTTGATGGTTAAACATCCCCCCCAGTCTCCTAAACTCTCTGTCCTAGTATCTATTTAAGCCGGGTTTTTAAAACTAGGCACCCAACATGACTTAAAGGATGCTTAGAACTGTTGAGGACCTAGAGCTTCCACCAACTGCACTAGTTACTCTGGCTTTACAGTAGCAGGTGAAGTGACCCCTACAATAATTTTTGTTACCATTCAGAAAGCCAAGTCACGAGCAGCAGCTCAAGCCATGTGGCACAGATCATCTACCAGCTTCCCAGGGAGCTGCTTGTTCAAGTCTTTAGGCCAGATCATTTAATCCTGTTAACAGTGTCTTCCAAGTGACTTTAACACCACTGAGGCCCTTGCCTTGTGTAGCACTATATTTTACAGAGGAAGCCCAAACAGCGCTACCATTACCCTGAAAACCAGTGATCCCTGAACACCTTCTGATTATAACTGACATAAAACCCATTTTCACAATCAGATTTAAAGAAAGTCTCATGTGTTCTTTGTTCAGATAGATTTTAAGTTAAGTTTTCTGTTGAGGCTGTTTGCCATCACTGGTACAGTGTGTGGCATCATCCCTTAATGAGTGTTTTCTTCCCTTAACCAGAGTAGGGGCTTGTGCAATCATCACAGATCAGACTTCTCCCTTTGGGGCACTTGAGGATCAATTCTCTCACAGCTGCCAAAAGTTGCTGTGCCAATTTCTCCCCTTTCAGAAACACACTAGAGGCAAAATGTTGTTTAGAGCTACTATCCCAGCCTGTGAGAAGCAAGCCTGTTCCTTGGCACCGAGATAAGTGTTTTTTAACCAAGTCCCATAGCACTTTTCTTTCTTATTTTCTCCTTGACAAATGGCACCTCATTCCTGGCCTCACTTGAAAAGCAAGCTGCTCATACCTTCCTTCGGATTGACATCCGCTTTTATTATGAAGTGGCCTTTAGATATTGATTTAGCCTGTGAAAATGCTAAACAGCTAAAATGTCCAGCAGTTCCTAAGCAAGTGACTTAAAGTGCATCTATTACTGTGCAGTAAGGCAGCATGCTTTGAGAGCCCACAAGCTCCTTCTGGAACCAGCACAGTGCTAAAATGAAAACGCTGCTGGGCACTTCAAAGCCGAAACAGTGTCAGTGCATGGTGCTCCGTTATATGGCTGAACTGGCTTGGGTCTCAGCACTGCTCTTCATTGTTCCATGGACATGTGTCTTTTAGAGGCCCAAAGTACTATTTCCAGAAGCAATAGGCAGCAACAGCTTAAGCTTTTCGGGAAATCATGAATCACAAACCCATGATTTAACCACAGTCACCCTGACCTTACCTCTGCATTAATCCTAGTTTGCTTCATATTTTCATTGGATTTTATACACCAAGGACAGGAAGAGATGTTTTTATGCCTCTTTGCTTTGAGTTGGTGGAGGTGCTGGGAAGATGCCCCCTAGGCAGCAATCCATGCCCAGCCGATATGTTCTCTGGGCAAGAGGGGAAGCCCATAAGCACAGTGCAGCGGATTTACAGGATCCAGGGCCTGGCCCTCCACTATCTTTTACATTGTACCTTCATTTATACTAGTGAAAAGCAAAACGTCAACTCTTCAGGAAGCTTGTGTAGACACTGGGACTTGGACTGGGGGATTCATGCAACTTTGCTCCTGCAGAACTGCCTAGTTTATCTCTTTTATACATCATCTGTTTGGCAATGCAGCAGCAACAAGGCATGCGCTGCTGTTATTTTGAAACGGTCATTTTGGCAAACCGTTTTTACTGACATAAATGTATTTTCTGTTATTGCTTGAGATGGAGGCAAGTTATTTATACCCATGTGTACTTCTATACCAGTGTAACTGCATCAGCAAAAATGGATGGGTTTTAATTGTACAGTGTAGTTAAGGCCATATTTAAACACGTATATTGTATGACTTTATATAAATAGTTCCTTTTTTATCCAATAACAGTATAGATAATTATTATTTTTACTCTCTGCTTTTGAGATAGTTCTATTCTTCAACTTAAGACATATTTTAGGCCCTACAAAAATACTGTTTAGAAAGAGAACTTGGAAAGTAAAGCATTTTTTCCTTGTGCAATTATGTTCATCCCTTCATGTGTATATGGTTAAAAAAAAAACCGAACAGAAAAAGACATACAATAACAAAACAGAACATCCCTGAGCACAGACCTCCCTGCACTGAAAGGCACCACACGGGTTTAAATCACTCGGCACCAACTATCTGGTCATGTTCCCACTGTAGGTGTTAAGGATTTTACCACAGGTTCCTGGGCAGCCCGACTCAGCCCAGCTTTAAAGACCCACGCAGACATGCCAATCGCATGCTCTCATTTTCCCAAGAAACTTCACAGTCAGCGTGGTTTCCAAAACCACAGCCACCCAAGCAACAAGGCAAAACATACCAGCAAACAAACCTATTCTCTGCAATGGGAGGGCAGTTTGAGATTATCTGGCCTAGCAAACTGCAGAGAGCAGCCCAGCAGGACACACGAAAGCCCAAATTGTTTGGCAGTGTTTACTGCCAGCAAACACAGCACAAATCCTCCGGCAGCCAAATGCTCACTTGAAACAGAAATGCTGCCTTGTGGGATCAAACCAAGGCTGGGTGTCTGGCTGGTGAGGTTGGGCTCTTGGCAGGGAAACAAGCAAACGTCCATCTCTGAAGGCAAAAGGAAGAAGAAACTGGGCCATTAAAAATGATGGGGCAGCACCGAGTTATCAGCGTCTGTTGCTGACTGCTGGGAAAATAGCAGAGTGGCCGTAGTCAAATGTGTATTTAGCTTTGTAGGGCAGGACGCTGTAGGAAGAGGAGCATGCCACCATGAGGCGTGCTGGGAGAGTGGACAGCTAATATTTATTCCCAGCTTTATTGCTAATTTGGCTGTAGCCTAGGGTGGATCAATCCTTTCGTTCAATCTTTTCAGTGCCTCAAAATGTCCTCCTTTACAAGGAGTGAAATGGTACTTAAACCCCCAGGAGCATCACTTCCCAGTGACCACTTGGCCTCATCCTTCAATAACAGGAGTCTGTGGGCAATGCTGAGTAGCAGGTATAGCCCAAGAAAAATTATAATCAATACAAGAACAGCGCTTTATAAATGGAATTACAAATGAGAACAGGACCTGCTGGGCCACATGCAGTAAGAGTACTTACCCCAAAGAGTTTAGACAGAGCCGAGGGGAAAGACCTAATGTAGAAGTAGTGTGATGGCAGCAAACATGTAGCTCTGCAATTGCTCGCTGGATGGAAAGACAACAGGAGGGACGACACTTCTTCTGGAAGAGGTATCATTCAGAAGGGCCCATTTACTCTTTCCTTAGCCTCCCCTTTTAAATAGCGCTCTCCCGTGACTTTCTCTCCTTACAGACTCTTTATCTTCCATTGAGCCAGGCTCTGGACAAGATGGGATCCCGGGCTCCCCTCTGCGAACCAGCATCAAGATCAAACGTGGAGGACCCCAGCAGCCGCAGGCCTACCAGATCCTCTCTTCGCTGCTGGATGACAGTGAAGCCAAAAGGAGAAGCAATCGGATGAAGTAGGAGCATCTGTGTGTTCTCCGTGCCTGTTCACCAGTTAAAGATACAGTATCCCAGTGCTTAATTGCAGAGTGCAAATGAAGTGGGTAGGAGGCTGCAGTGTTGGCAACGGGGTTTCCTTACCTGGCCAACACTACGTCCTTATTGCAGGGAATGTCTTATCCATAGCTCAGAGAGGGTCTTATGAACATTTTTCTTGATTTTGTTGTTTTGCCTTTGGAATACCAGATGGCAGGTATCCTCAGAAGCTGTCTACAGAAACGACACCTCCTGACTGTGTCTCAAGAGTTTAATTCTCCCCTTGTTTCCTCACTGCCCTTGAAAGTTACTCAGTTAAAGCACTGCTTAACTGGCTGAGACAATCAATCCCATCTAGACTCAAAGCCAAGCCTTAGCCTTGTCCATTGGTATAGTTGGTGGCATCTGCTTTTATTTCATGTGGTGGTGTCATGCTGACTTCCAGGTGAAGATACCACTTCCATAGGCTGTTAAAGCATGATCTGCAAGGATTTCTTTTAAGCAAAGAACAAATTGGAAAATTCAAAGAACATTTAAAGCTGTTACTCTGAAAATTCAGGTTACTCTTTGGACTTTAGCATCAAAATCTTGGCTTTTCATGTTGCTAATTGCATGTGAGTGGCATTATTTCTATTCATGGCTGGCTGAGCAAGGACTTTTGATGCAAATGTTCATGGCAACATTGACTTCCTATCTATCTTCAGTGAGATTAGACTGTTTCTGTGAAAATACAGAGCAGTTGATATGAAACATGATGGAATTGTGCAAGAGTTTTCCCATATTGTGTTCAGCTTGTGCATACATCCAGAGGTAATTAAGTAGTAGCAATAACTATTCACAGAAAAGGATATTTTGCAATGGTTTCTTAATCCTACATCAATAAGGAAAAAATGTTTTCACAGTGTTTCGTTTTTATCTTCTGAGTAAATCCTTGCCATTTGAATCTGGAGACAGTGTAGTAGCAAACCACAGCCTAAGGAATTACAAGTCTTGTCACGAGCTTATCTTGCATTGGGAGTTAAATACAAAGTCATTTTAATTTTTGCAATAACGTGGGGGAAGTCCCAGCGTCCAGGGTTATGAAGTTGAACCTGCCCTTCAGTGACAAATGAATCACTACACCTGCTGTGCAAACGAAATCTGACAAGTTGATGTCATTCATGTAGACAGTGATTTTTGTTAGAAAGGGTGAGACTAATCAACAGAACCAATGGTACCATTTTTAAATTTTTTTTTCATTCCCCCCCCCCATTCTGACAGTTTTCAAATTCAGCCGAGGACGAAAGTGAGCAAATTGAGTTTGTTTGTGTCATTTTATGGCATAAGTCAGGTAAATTGGTCCCATTCTATCTGGTTCCTAGTGCAAGATACAGCTGTCTGAAAAAGGCAAACTGTACTGCTACAATATTTCTGTCAATAGCTTTGCAAAGACCATCAACTGTATGGTCCGTGTATTCAGCAACCCTTGCCACCCAAAGTGATCTTCCTAAGGCAAAACCAGAAGCATGTGGTACACTGGAAATGAGGCTTAAAATGAAGGAGCTCCTGCCAGCCCAACATCAGTCATGCATTAAAGTAACTTTCCGTATACATTGTAAACATGGTAGACCTATAGAGACATCAGAACGTCTAAATCTTTCCACTGAAGAGCATTATATTTTCAGAAATGAAGAGGCTACAGGCTACTTCAGGATGACTGAATTCACTATATGTCTTCATTTGGCCCTGTTCTTTAGAAATCCAACTGTCCCAAAACAGGTGAAATGGTCCTAAGTTGATGCAGAGCAAGCACCAGGAACTTGTCCTCATACAGAAGCTTTTTACTGCTGTACAGCTAAATAATAAACAGCCTTGGTTTAAGCTGGCTTGAAGGCTGCAGTAAATGCATTGACTTGCCCTGCTTTTGAATCCTCGCACTGCTTGGCTACTGCCAGTGGTGGAGCTTGTGCAGCAGTCAACCCATGTAGTTCAGGCTGCGCTTCCGTATGCTCAAGTTTTCCTTTGGATGCTGCAAAGAAACAAGGCCAAAGCGTTACAAAAGTCTGGGGAGTTGAAGGCAAGGT